CTAAGAGAATTAACCATGAAGAAAACTTAATGATGTTATGACTACAATCCTGAAACAACACCTAACGATCAATGTTTAGATTTTTCTTCTTTACTTTACTTAATTCTTAGGTTATTAGTTAGGCAGATTCCGATTCTGCACGTTAAATTTAATTTTTATACCTGTGATCTTGACATGTTTTACCTAGTGGTGAGCACTTAAAGGAGTTAGATTTTGATAAGTCATTAGTGGGATTGACACTCATTAAAAAATATGGCTCTTGGACTATAGCAACATTTTAAGATTCTGACACTCGGACTGCACATTGTAGTCGAAATACGTATGGATACACAAATTAATAAAGTGGAATTAAATGGAAGCTTACTTTTTTGACTGTTTTTTAAGCATCATAAATGTTGATCGATCGATTAGTCAAAGGGACATTCTGAAGAGCTGCAACGAAATATGGATAGTAATTCCAAGAGAATCTAATTCTTAATATAGCTTAATTTATTTTTTGCAGAAGTTAAAGCCAATTTGAGTTAGTTTCAAGAAAATTTCCAAAGGATTTTTTGAGAATTTTGAAGAAATATCAAACACACTCAGATTTTTTGCCGAGCAGCTCGGCATTTTATTGTGCTGGATCTCAGTGAAAAACTTGCCGAGATTCACCTAACAAACGGGAATTTTGGCGAGATCTCAGCTAGCAAACACAAATTTTGCGAAATCTCGGTAAGTTTTTCACTGAGATCCAGCAAAATAAACCTCTGAGCTGCTCGGTAGTGCCCATCTAGGTAAACAATCTATGTGTGAAAGTTTGAGAGGATTCGAAAGAAACTCTGAGTAGTGTTTCAAGTGATCCTAGGGAAATTTCCAAAGGAATTCTACGGAGAGTTTCAAGAGTATTCCAAGAATATGTCATGGAGAAAATTTCTAGGGATTAAGGAAAAAACATAAGATTATTGAGGGGAATCCTGAAAGTAAAAGTAATTCTGAAGACATTTTGAAATGATCCTAAGGTAAGTTTCTAAGAAATAATTTAGTCTAGCTTAATTGCTATGCTCTATTCTTCGGTGCATGCGGTGTAAATCTTTGCATTATATGGCAAATCTCAGGTAATCATGACAGCTTTTTTTTCATTCACATTGTTTTCAATAATCAAACGCCATGATTAACTGTGATCTACCAAATAAGGAAAATATATACACCGCTTCAGCAAAGAATTGAGATGCATTTAGTAATCATAACCTATAGTTCAAAACAGTTCCACAAGTATTCCGGATCACAGCTACCTAAGAAAATATGAAGTAAATATACTGCTATTAGCGATCATTACTCATTCCACGATTAAATAAAACCCACTGCCTCTACCATATGCATAGAAAGGCTGGTTCGACAAAGTGAGTCATAACTTAAGCAATCATTGTAAGCAGTATGGAGAAGAATTTTTCAAGCAACAGATTGCTCAACTTGATTGTACCTACCCATTCGAGAAACCGACGACCAGGTAGATCTCCATGGATATATTTATAGGAATCTATCAATAAGTTTCTCCCAGAAGGATCCCTTTCGATTTGATCCGTCGCATAAACCACTTTTTTTTCATAGCCTACCAATTTTTACACTAGCATTACGTCAGAAAAATAAAAATCGACAGCGAGACGTACGATGAATCAATTAAATCAAAATTGTCTGATGAAAACGAACAAGATGTCTTTCTTCTTACCTCTCCGTATCCAACAAGCCTGTATATTTTGCCAACAGCCTATTTCAAGTATCCATCCAATATACAACTGTACCGCACTCCTTAAATATATCAACACACTGTATAATACTAACAAGCATGAACACCGAAATAATGATTGTTTTTCTGCCACTTCACGCAACAATTATTATCGTTCTATCGTCTTTTCGTATCAAAAAGCGATTACTGCTATCGGAAAACTTTGCACAAACTAATCCACCCCGCAAATCAAAAGGATTTCGTCCACGCAGCACCGAGACAAACTTTGGCTCGCATCGATTGCAACACAACACAACAGCCGGACGACGACGACGACGATGGCAATAATCGAGCACGGCAGCACCATCAGTTTTATAAGAAAATATACCTAGTCAGTCACTGCTCGCCATTGCGGTTCGCCTCTTTATGAAATCGTGTTCGTTAAAGTGTGGGATAAACATATGAATCCAAAATATGCCATCCGGCGGACACAGACTGGCGAGTAGAGTGGGTACTGAAGGTAGATGGGTGATTGTAATGGCGGGAGAAATGTGTAGCAGTCGAAACGTCTGCTAGGCGAGAGCTGTGAATCCGTGCCGATCGGAACTCTGGAGAGAATTGAGAGCAATATTTTCGGTGGGTGAGAGTGCACCGGCCCTTGTCTCTCTTCTCGGCTGATTGAGTGCCAAAGTTCGGCTATAGCTCGTTGGTTGCTCAATTCTCTCTCTGTGTGCTTTCGGTCGAGAACATAATAGGCATGCAAAAGCATAAGGAACCAAGCACTTATTACGTAAATTTTTTTTGGCGATTTTTACCTTAAAAAATTAAGTGATCCGAGACTGAAAATTTCGTTACTCAACGAAAAGTACTTTTGATTGAGCTGAATTTTGCGTCTATTATAACTCAATTTATTGTCAAAACTGACGCTCGTATATGTCAGTCTCAGAGCACCTAAATTTACATGACTTTCTCTAAGTGTGTATGAAAATAGGCATGCGCTGCTATTATATCGAACAGCACTGTACAAACCGTTGAGTGACTATGCGGTACATATCCACTTGAGTAAACATAAATCGAATGAAAAATTCTGTTCCACAAATTTATTTAATCAAAGCGCTTCAATGTTTTTCAAGTGTGGTGATTACACGGCTAATCATATCAACTCAGCGACTGAGTTTAATTGACTCAGAGAATTTTCTTTCCATACGAAATTTACTCAGATTGATTACTTTGACTGTGTGAAGAAAACGTTGAAAGCGAAAGTGGTACATGCTTCTGATACTTGTGAATCAAGCTTGTCCATACTTTCTAAACTTGCTTCTTTAGATGTCTAAATCTGCATGATTCAAGCTGCATTTTGTTTGTTTATTAATCATTCTGGCCTAAAAAGTATATTGCTGAAGGGAATTGGGGTAGAATGGTCTCATTGTTGAGATTCAGAGACCTCGTCCAGGACTCGCGTCCAGACCGTGGGCTGGACTTCGAACATACCAGTTGTATTGCGTCGTTTGCACTAAATGACACGCGGCGTTTGCTTCAGGCAAGTGCGCGCCGCACTTTCAGCGTCAAGTTTACTTAATCCTTAGGCCGTTCGCAATGCTGTATTGTATAAGGACTGTTTCAATTTGAAACTAGAACAGAAACGCACCTCTCGCAATGCTGAGTTGCAGTTTCATTATTCGAGCACTATTTTGCACCAGATTTGCAACTGCTCGACTATTCTGTTTTATTTCTGAGCGAGTTTGAAACACGAATGGAACTCTGTTTCAAATTTCTTTGGATGTGTTGAAGATGTTTCGAAGAGCTCCACAAAAAAAAAACGGAGAACTTCATAGAGAACAGTAAAGTTTATGGAACTTGATGATTACAAATATGTTTTAGAACTGTGCGTTGCGCTGATCGTGTTGCAGTTTTATTTTTGACAGTTTCAAATTATAGAATTGACGAGTATTTTGAAACAATTTTGAAACTCAGCATTGCGAACGGCCTTATGGGAGATAACATTGCGGCGTTTCACTCGACGCGGCCGTTCCTTTCACAAACCAAAGGCCACGGGGAATTTTGTGCAAATGCGCGTTTGAGAAAAATCGAAATGTATCTAATTGACCACTTTGTCAAGCAGTTTTGGCGTGATTTTCTACCAGCAATTACACAAAAATGGATCTATTAATTTCTATTTTTTTATGAAACGCACAAATGTTGGCTACTTTTCTCGTGGTTCTAGTAGAAAAAGTCTCAAAATAATGTTTTATTTCACAGTTCGAGTGGTAGTAAACGTCATTTTAACTGCTCGAATGAAGTGATTAATTATCCACTTCATTCGAGCAGGTTAAAATGACGTTTACTACCACTCGAACTTGGAAATAAAATTAGTTGGTCCAGTTTTGTGAAATCGCTGGTAGAAAGTCACGCCAAAACTGCTTAACAAAGTGGTCAATTGACGGAATCCTACAATAAATGACCCGGAAACCCAACAAACAATTTGAGCTGATTAAAAGCTGAAGAAGCATATTTTTGTCTGAATATGTCCGTTTTCAGCGGTCAATGTTGGTTGGGAATGATCACAATGTGTGCATTGTATTTAAACCGTAATACCAACAATCAATACGAAACTAACGATTTTAAATTGGCTCACCACTTTAGTAGCCTATTGGTCCCAAGCAAACGATTAACGTACCCTATTCTAGTTGAAATTCTATTACTACACTATGTTTGTTTTGATTCGCTATGAAAGTTTGACAGATAACATCAGGGGTGTGTGGATTCATGCAGAACATGCAGGGGTGAGTGAAATAGCTTGGGACTGCTTGGGACCGTTGTTCTGGTACTGAGTGAGCCAAAAATAATAATGATTTTCTTCGGGACCCAGTGGTCTTAGAGTTACCTCTATGGTATAACCATGGACCCAAAGGTCTATAACTTTCAATTCAATCGACCATGAATAAACTGGGTTTTATATCAGATGATTATTTTTTAGCAAGACCCTAATAACCGGATACCATACTAACGCTATCATAGATGGTACGACCATACCACATAAAGTTGGGATGATATCCCGAATTGGTGGTTAGGCGCTTCTTATGGTTATCGTTTATGCGGGGATAATTAATTTTTAATCATTCGATACATTGATAAATTAAACTTTTTCTCATTTTGCTCTGTTTAATGTAATCGCAGGTAATTTTGTTTTAAATATCTGGCATCCCTGCTGTATCCCAAAGCGCCATCATCCGGCGAGCACTTCTATCTTCCCCGTCTAGCGCACAGTCCCATGTCATTGATTGATGTGTAAAATTATTGAGTGGAGGGCGTAGATTCGTGTGCAGGTACCGATTTTTGCCTTTGATTGCGTGAAATTCGTAAAAGTTCCCGTGAAAAATATTTTCAAAGGGTAGTGTCGGTGGCCGAGCGGAAGTGTAGCATAAAATTCACCGCGAAATATCCCGATCCTGGCCGTAAAACGCAAAACAAAACCATCCCCGATGAGACATCCGGAGATTCATTTGTCATCCATTTTTTCTCCTCACCGCACTTTGGCATTCCACACCTTCCACCCCCGCACGGATTGTTTACCTCCCCTCGACCGTTCGAGTGCGGATGTAAACAAACCTTCTCTTCGGTTGGCGAAGATCTTTTAATATTTACGTAGCTGTTTTTTTGTTTGTTTTGGGAATTTGATTCGCGTGCTGCATCCCTGCGCAATGCTCCGAGACGATTCAATGGGTGCACATTGTCCATACCGGAATTCATTATCAATTCGTTTAGCTCTGATTGCGATCAGTCCCAGACGATTATGTGCATTCATGAAGGGGGGGGAGATTATTTCATGAAGTGATGTGCGTTTGTTTCAGTTTCAGGTACACGGTGCAGAGCGTTAGGCGATCGAAAAAAGAAGAGTTTATTGGTCAAATTGAAAGTGTGCTGAGCACGACGGACGACGGAGATGGCTCAGGAGAAGATTACCCTGGCCGATGCGCTTTCCAACGTGGAAGTGCTGGACGAGCTGCCTCTGCCGGACGAGCAGCCCTGTATCGAAGCGCAGCCTTGCTCGGTGGTCTACCAGGCTAATTTCGATACCAACTTCGAAGACCGGAATGGGTTCGTGACGGGAATTGCCAAGTACATTGAGGAAGCGACAACCCATGCGAATTTGGTATGAGGAATGTATAATTTTTTTCGCTTCAATTTGTTTCAATTTATCGTTTGTTCTAGAATCAATTGCTGGACGAAGGTCAGAAGCATGCGGTTATGCTGTACACCTGGCGGTGTTGCTCCCGAGCGATTCCGCAGCCCAAGTCCAACGAGCAACCGAACCGCGTGGAAATCTACGAGAAAACCGTCGAAGTTCTAGCACCGGAGGTGAACAAGCTGCTGAACTTCATGTACTTCCAGCGCAAAGCAATCGAAGCGTTTTCCGGCGAGGTCAAGCGATTGTGCCACGCCGAAAAGCGCAAGGATTTTGTCTCCGAGGCGTACCTTCTGACGTTGGGCAAATTCATCAACATGTTTGCCGTGCTGGACGAGCTGAAGAACATGAAATCGAGCGTCAAGAACGACTACAGCACCTACAGGCGAGCGGCTCAATTTCTGAAGGTGATGAGCGATTCCCACACCCTACAGGAGTCGCAGAATTTGTCCATGTTTCTGGCGACGCAGAACAAGATCCGAGACACGGTTAAGGACACGCTGGAGAAGATCACCGGCTATGAAGACTTGCTCTCCGATGTGGTCAACATCTGTGTGCACATGTACGAGTCGAAGATGTACATGACGCCGGAGGAGAAGCACATGCTCGTCAAAGTGATGGGCTTTGGGTTGTTCTTGATGGATTCGGAAATTTGCAACATCAACAAGCTGGATCAGAAGAAAAAGCTCCGGCTGGATCGGATTGATAGGATTTTCAAGAACCTGGAGGTGGTGCCCCTGTTCGGCGATATGCAAATTGCACCGTTCAACTACATCAAGCGGAGCAAGCACTTCGATCCGAGCAAGTGGCCACTGTCCAGCTCGCAGGCTATCAGTCCGCAGGCAGACTTGATGGTGCATTTGCCCACGATCCGGGAGGACCACGTGAAGTACATATCGGAGCTGTCGCGCTACAGCAACGAGGTGACGACGACCTACAAGGTGAGTGGTAGGGGTAAGATTGGTTGCAGTTATGTTTGATGCACTGAGGTGAGCTTTCGGGGCATCTGGTACGGAGTTCTGTGAATTCTCTCGGCAATGAGACCAGAAGAGAGAGCTAACTGTTATTCGTTTCGAAATTTTGGGAAATTTCCTCCTGAAATTCTGTAGAAATTTCTCTTAAAAAATTAGAAACATTATACCTTTTTGGAATGTTGAGAAATTTCTTCTGCGATAATTAGCTGCGGATTATATTTTGCAAAATGTCTTGTTTAAATTCTGAGTAAAATTCCGTTTACTGAGTGCCATTGATTCAAACTGCACCATTCACAATTCCTCTTCTTGCAGGACAACGCAACCGACGCGGAAAACAAAGCCACCGCAGACCTTGCCCTGCGAGGTCTACAGCTGCTCTCCGAGTGGACATCGGTCGTTACCGAGCTGTACTCGTGGAAGCTATTGCATCCAACCGATCATCACCAGAACAAGGAATGCCCGGTGGAGGCCGAGGAGTACGAACGGGCCACCCGGTACAATTACACCGACGACGAAAAGTTCGCCCTGATCGAGGTGATTGCCATGATCAAGGGCCTACAGGTGTTGATGGCCCGGATTGAGACCGTTCTGTGTGAAGCGATTCGTCGCAGCATCTACTCCGAGCTGCAGGACTTTGTCCAGTTGATGTTACGCGAGCCGCTGCGGAAGGCGGTTAAGAACAAGAAGGACCTAATCCGGTCGATCGTCATGTCTGTTCGGGAGACGTGTGCCGATTGGCAGAAGGGAACCGAACCGGCTCACGATCCGGCCCTGAAAGGCAAGAAGGATCCGGACGGGGGCTTCCAGATCAGTGTTCCCCGCTTGAACGTGGGACCGTCGTCCACTCAGCTGTACATGGTGCGGACCATGCTGGAGTCTTTGATTGCCGACAAGTCGGGTGGGAAGAGAACGCTGCGGAAGGACATCGACGGAGCTTGCCTGGTACAGATTGATGCTTTCCACAAGCTATCGTTCTACTGGACGTTTCTGTTGAGCTTCAGCGAGACTCTGCAAAAATGCTGCGATCTTTCGCAGCTGTGGTACCGCGAGTTCTATCTCGAAATGACCATGGGACGGAAAGTTAATGTAGGGTTTTTAGCGGATTTCTTCGAGTTAAAATGAGACTAATCTTCTCTTTCCTTGCAGAAATGTCTCGTTCGGCATCAGCACAACGAGGAATGCAACGACCTGATCACGATGGAAAAGCGTATTCAGTTCCCGATCGAGATGTCGATGCCGTGGATCCTCACCGATCACATCCTCCGGACGAAGGAGCCCTCCATGATGGAGTACGTGCTCTATCCGCTCGATTTGTACAACGATTCCGCTCTGTACGCTTTGACCATCTTCCGGAAGCAGTTCCTGTACGACGAAGTAGAAGCCGAAGTCAACCTGTGCTTCGATCAGTTCGTCTACAAGCTGAGCGAGCAGGTGTTCGCCCACTACAAACAGCTGGCCGGCAGTATCTATCTGGACAAGCGCTTCCGCGTCGAGTGCGAAGTGCTGGGATTCAACTTCCAATCGCACCCGAAGAACAATCGGTACGAAACGCTTCTGAAGCAACGGCACGTCCAGCTGCTGGGCCGTTCGATCGATCTGAACAAACTCATCACCCAGCGTATCAATGCGGACATGCAGAAGAGCTTGGAGCTTGCGATCTGCCGGTTCGAAGCGAGTGACATCACCGGAGTCGTCGAGATGGAAGCCCTGCTAGCGGTCAACAAGCTCTGCCACAAATTGCTGTCGCGATTCCTGGCCCTGGACGACTTTGACGCCATGTTGAAGGAAGCCAACCACAACGTTCTTGCCCCGTACGGAAGAATCACTTTGCACGTCTTCGTCGAACTGAACTACGACTTCCTCTCGAACTACTGCTACAACGCCGCTTCGAACCGATTCGTTCGCAATAAGCTGCAGATTCCCTTCTCGGGAGCGATCACACGCGAGAAGGCACCGGTTATGTCCCACTACTATCTGTGGGGCTCAAAGCCTCTGAACGCGGCCTTCTCCACCCAGTATGGCCAGTACACGGGATTCGTTGGATCTTCCCATTTCCACGCCATGTGCCGTCTGTTGGGCTACCAAGGGATCGCAGTCGTGATGGAAATCATTCTAAAAGACATCGTAAAACCGCTCATCCAAGGCAATCTGCTCCAGTTTACCAAAACTCTCATGTCCGCTATGCCAAAGTCGTGTAAACTGCCCCGCTGCGACTACGGATCACCGGGTGTGCTGAGCTACTATCAGGCCCATCTGGTCGATATCGTCCAGTATCCGGATGCGAAGACGGAACTGTTCCAGCTGTTCCGGGAGCTCGGCAATTCGCTACTGTTCTGTCTGCTGATCGAGCAGGCTCTGTCGCAGGAGGAAGTGTGCGATCTGCTGCATGCGGCACCATTCCAGAACATCTTGCCCAGACCGTACTGCAAGGAGGGCGAAAAGCCGGAAACCAAGCAGAAGCGACTGGAATCCAAATACGGATCGCTGCAGATTGTGCCGAATATTGAGAAGCTCGGAACGGCTAAGGTGAGTTGTTGCCACAGACTTTCTATTCCGCTAAAAATTTAGCACATTTCTACCTTCGACAGCAAGCAATGATCGCCCGCGAGGGGGACCTGCTGACCCGTGAGCGGCTCTGCTGCGGCCTGAGTATCTTCGAAGTCATTCTCGGTCGCGTCAAATCATTCCTGGACGATCCGGTGTGGGCTGGTCCGCCACCGGTCAACGGGGTCATGCACATCGACGAGTGCTCCGAGTTCCATCGGCTGTGGTCGGCGCTCCAGTTTGTCTACTGCATTCCAGTTGCCGGAACCGAGTACACCGTGGAGTGAGTCTCCTTCTAGGAATTTGCTGTATTTTCTCCGGATGATTGGCGGATGTTTTTCTTTCACAGAGAACTGTTCGGCGAGGGGCTCCACTGGGCCGGTTGTGCAATCATCGTTCTCCTGAATCAGCAGAGAAAGTTCGAAGCGCTCGACTTTTGCTACCACATCCTGCGCGTTCAGCGCGTCGATGGAAAGGATGATACCGTGAAGGGAATCGTAAGCCGCCGCTGTCAAACGAGTTGAGCTTTCGAATGTTACTAATTTCCCTTTTCCGCTAACAGAACCTAAAACGCATGGTCGATCGGATCCGGCGCTTCCAGGTGCTAAATTCGCAAATCTTTGCGATACTGAATAAATATATGAAGAGCAACGATCTGGAGGGTTCGAATGTGGAGCACGTGCGATGCTTCCCGCCGCCGCCGCATCCGACGGTCGTGCCGTCGCACTATCACGATCCGAACAAGCTGCGGGCGCAGTAAATTTGGTAGTTTCTTTTCAACAAGTAAAAGACATGGCACTGGTTGTAGTTGGTAACTATCCCAGTACGGTACATCCTTCTGCTTTCTTCTTCTTCTTCTTCTAAGTAGCCGCGAGCATTTCCTCTCGATTTTAGTCACTATAAGCTCCTATCATGATGGTCACACTATTATCGACATACCCATATGAGAGTAGGTAAAATGCGGAAAGTTTCGGCATTTCGTTTCGACGGAAATTTTTTGCGTTTATTATGTTTTAGTTTTATTTTATACAAATATTTATTTTCATATTGCAGTTCTCCATTAGTGTATTCATCAATCGATTGCGTATTAGTCGAGTATGTAGATGTATCGTTCGAATACAGTTTTGCTTTAATGCTATTGCAAAAAATATTACGATTAGATTAGTTTAAACAAATATTACGGAAGCGTTCTTCGAATCATCCCTTAGAAGCTATTTTAATTTATCGATACGAGCAGCGTAAATGGGGATTCAGCAGTACCGCGAATTAGACTAAGAAGCAGGATAATTGTCGCAAAATGGTGGTGGTAACTTGAATGCAACTTATAATGCAGTCACAAACAAAGTTGCTGCTACTTTTCGTGACGGAAGTGTGATGCTGGAAATGTTTGAACACCACCTACTGACACAATTTGATTCACATTCAATTTAGTTAATTGACTCAATATGGCCTAACACAGTGTTTCTCAATCTATGGGTCGCGAGGTGTCCTTAGATGGGTTGTTGAAATTCAAATTTTTAGATTTTTTGGAGTCAAAACTGAGCTAAAGTAAAAACTTATTTGATTTTAAGGTGATTTCTTGTAGAGTCCACAATTAGCCGTCACGTAGGCTATGCATGTACTTCCACGAGAGCTCAGCGTTTGCAGGGAGCGCACTCGCAGGTGTTAGCACTCCGACCGAATACAGTCGTCTCCAACATCTCCCCTCTTAATAAAGGTGGTACGGGTCAAACCACATCGGCGGTCTTCGATTCCTAGAAGAACGCTGAGGAACTGTTACCACTGGATCTGCCTCAACTGCTGATTCAAATTCGGTTGAAACTGATGTTGACGTTGACGTTGATGGGGACGGAATAAAGAACGATTAGTTACGAAATACTTAAAATCTTTATTTTTACTTTCAATAGAAAAACAACCAATGGCCAGTACACGGGATTCGTTGGGTCTTCCCATTTCCACGCCATGTGCCGTCTGTTGGGCTACCAAGGGATCGCAGTCGTGATGGAAAACATTCTAAAAGACATCGTAAAACCGCTCATTGATAGCTGCGTAGCAAAGATTGACAGCTTGAGTTCTTTTTCTTCGACGACGACCCGATGGAAGCCAGGCTGACCAGTGTTGCCGGGCGATGCCACAGGGCCCCTCCAGTTACACCAAAAATCTTAGGCGATGTCCAGATTGTGTAACTTTCGTACGATGATCATCTTGAGGATATTTCTGCAAATCCGGATTACAAGTGAAAGCCGCTTTTATTCGGTCGACTGAAATGCGCTGCTGTTTTCCAGAAATAAGTACGTCGAAGAACTTATCATCTCGTCTTATTACCTTGAATGGACCTTCATAAGGATGCTGCAACGGTCGCTTCACATAATCCACTCGTACAAATACATGTGTACATGTTTTCAAATTGGCGTTGACAAAAACTTGTCGTTCTCCATGACGTTTAGTATCGTGCGGTTTTATATTGTCGAACGTACGGTGAAGCATTTGGGCAAACTCCGATCGGTCGATATCTCCAGGTGCAGACTGAAAGAATTCACCAGGAATCCGTAAAGCTTGACCGTAAACCATATCCGCAACCGAGCACTGCAGGTCGTCCCTAAATGCCACCCTTAGTCCCAGAAGAATCATTGGAAGTTCGTCGTACCAATTCTTAGAGTTTACACACATTATCGATGCTTTCAATGTTCGGTGAAAACGTTCTACGATGCCGTTCGCTTGTGGGCGATAGGCATTCGTACGAATATGGTGAACACCTAACATTCGCTTTAACTCCCGAAAGAGATCGGACTCAAATTGCCGTCCCTGGTCGGTTGTCAGGTTTTCTGGGACTCCAAATCTTGCTATCCATGTTGAGTACAGTGCTTGAGCCACAGATGCTGCAGTCATATCGACAAGTGGAACCGCTTCGGGCCATCTGGTAAAACGGTCAATCATGGTCAGTAGGTAGCGGTATCCTTGTGACGGCGGCAAAGGACCAACCAGATCAATATGAAGGTGTTGGAAACGAGCCTTCGGTAGGTCAAATTTTCCCAACGGAGAGACGGTATGTCGATGCACCTTCGACCGTTGGCAGTCGACGCAGTGTTTGACAAACTCATTTATTTCACGGTTCATAGCTGGCCAAACGAATCGCTCGGAGATTAACTTCCTGCTGCCTCGTGCTCCTGGGTGAGAAATTCCGTGTAGGCATTCCATGATGGTTCTCCGTTGAGTACTTGGAACGAAAGGTCGTGGTTCACAGTAGATCGGTTGAGAACAACCACTCATCCGTTTTGCTTCAAATTTCAGCGAAGTAGATTTGGATTGCATCAACTGCTGAAGCTCCGCGTCGTTTTTCTGCTTTCGTCCGATTTCTTCATAGTCCACCGAAGTAGGCGCTAGTATACTCTCCACACGAGACAATGCATCGGCGACGTAATTTTCACTTCCACTGACATGTTGTATATCCGTAGTAAATTCCGAGATGAAACGTAGGTATCGTTCTTCATGCGGTAGCCGAGAGCTGGAATCGGTTGTTAGCGCGTATGTTAGTGGGCGATGGTCAGTGAAGATCGTGAAGTTGCGTCCTTCAAGGAAGTGCCGAAAATATTTCACAGACATTTTCATCGCAGTCAGTTCACGGCCAAAAGTAGAGTATTTCGTTTGGGACATCGAAAATTTTTCGGAATAAAATCCGAGTGGTTCCCAATTCTGACCATTTAGCTGCTGCAAGACAGCCCCCGCAGCAATATTTGAGGCATCGATCATCAGAGCTAATGGTTTCGACGAGTCAGGATAGTGAAGCAGTGCTGTCTCCGCTAATGATTTTTGACAACGCTCGAAGCTTGATGAAGCTGCATCTGTCCACTGTAGTTTACGTATGTCGTTTTTCCTGTTCCCGGAAATAAGCTTCTGCAACTCAGCTTGGATGTCGGATGCATGACGAACGAAGCGTTTGTAGCCGTTGGCGAGTGCCAGAAAGCGACGGAGTTCCTTGACTGTTGTCGGTTTCTCGTAGTCCATAATGGCTTGGACGCGTGACGGGAGCGGCCGCACTCCATCACTGCTGATCAGGTATCCTAAAAATTCCACTTCCTTTTGGGCAAACACGCTCTTACCCAAATTTAGAACGAGTCCGTGCTGGCGTAGGTGGTCAAACACTATGCGTAGATGCTCCTGGTGTTGAGCAAGGGATTCAGAAGCGATGCATATGTCATCTATAAAGACAACAACGAAATCAAGATCACCAAAGATTCGGTTCATGTAGCGCTGGAACGTCTGACTTGCGTTACATAACCCAAATTGCATGCGGGTGAACTCAAACAAGCCAAACGATGTGATGACCGCCGTTTTGGGAATGTCTGCTTCCTCCACCGCAACCTGATGATACGCTCGCTCAAGAGTTGTGAAAACGGACTTACCATGAAGCGAATGCATGTGCGATGGATGTGCGGTACCGGATAACGGTCAGGTGTAGTGATATGATTTAAGCGACGGTAGTCACCAACGAAACGCCATTTCCCGTTCTTTTTCAGCACACAATGCAAAGGACTTGCCCAACTGCTACTCGATGGTCTGCATATTCCTAGGTCACACATAAGGCGAAACTCTTCCTTAGCAGCTTTAACTTTGTCCGGATGCATTCGTCGAACTTTAGACGCCACGGGTGGTCCACGAGTAACTATGTGATGGGTTACGTCACACTGCGTGACAGAACGAAGCGTCGATGGCAGAGTTATTTCCCGGTACTCCATTAACAAATCGTGGAACGGATGATCGGCACCAACAAGTGTTACACTGTGCAGAGCAGCAGTCATCATACCTCCAGAAGACTTCAATCCTGTCTGGCCATCTATCAGTTTTTGGTTTTTCAAATCGACGAGTATGCCGAAGTGCGCCAAAAAATCAGCACCGATTATTGGCATCGTCACTTCAGCAACGCGGAAATTCCAGGTGAATCTTCGTCTCAATCCTAGATCAACAGGAATAAATTTCGTTCCAAATGTCCGAATTCTACTTCCGTTGGCTGCGTGGAGCTGTTGTATAACGGTACCGTTCAATCGATCTCTCCTGGAGGCAGGCAATATTGTGACGTCCGATCCAGTGTCGATTAGAAAGCGTGTATTGTTCGTCCTGTCAAAAATTACCATTCGGCGACTTTCCGACACTCCGGCCACCACCGCCGATGATGGTGGGGAGGATGCTAGTTTTTTGAGCTCCATGAACACGGTTCTCGGCACCGCTGAGCATCGTTTCCATATTTCCTATGGTACCAGCACAGTCCGGATCGTGATGACGAACGAGAACCACTTCGGTTTCGCGAAAACGAACGGCCTCGCTCAGGGTTGGGAGCCTTCAGGCGTCGGATTTCCGCTGTGAGAAGTTCGATCTGCTCTGCTAGCTTCCTTTCACCACTGTTGCTGTACGTTGGTTCGTTGTGCACCATGGCAACTGCGGAGGACTGACCGTTGGAGGCGTCGGTGATCTTGTCTGCCATTTCAGCCAACTTCTCGATGGTACCATCGTGGCATGTGAGAATTGATCGAATGTTTGCCGGGAGGCGTTGAATGAAAATCATTTTGAGCAGATTGTTATCCACGCCCAAACCCGTCGACAACTCTCTCATCTTTGCTAACAGATGCGTTGGGCGCATATCGCCAAGATCGTGGGCCCCCAGCAGCTGTTCGAAGCGGCTTTCAGCAGACAGGGCGAAGCGAGCAATTAGGCGATCTTTCACTGTTTTGTATTTATTTTCCGCTGGAGGAGCAGCTACCAAATCGGCTATGTGACATATAACCGATTGATCCACTTTGGCCACGATGTGGTAAAACTTGGTTTCATCATTGACGATTTTCGCAAGGTGGAATTGCGCTTCCGATTGCGCAAACCACATAGTCGCATCAGTTTTCCAAAAATCCGGTAGTTTTACCGCGACAGATGCTGCTGCGTTGCTCCCGTTATCGTCCGGCATTTTGAGGTTAGTTTCGGCTTTGAGATCGAATATCGGCGAATAACCGTGAAATCGGACCGAAACTTTTAGATTCGCGACGTCGCGGGTCACCAATGTAGTGATCGGACACGGAATAAAGAACGATTAGTTACGAAATACTTAAAATCTTTATTTTTACTTTCAATAGAAAAACAACCACGTTCGCGCGTTGATAGCTGCGT